AAATAATAAGAAATATTTCACTAAGCAATTAGAGTGATTACCTGATGACTTCTTCGACTGGCACGAAGGCTGAGCCTGTGGCTCCACTCGTGCTTAGGCAGTTCGACTCCGTATTTATCCATGGTCTCCTGTTAAAGGCCTGAGAAATCCGGGCCACTGGAACAGTACACCGCTACTCCATACTCCCCCTGCAACAAGGAAAAGAGCATCAGCCACCTGCTCTATCGCTGAAGTCGCTAAAAATTTCGCTCTTTTGGCTTCTTAAGAGGAACGCGATTTCTGAGTCGAAACTGTCCTCGAAAGCTTTTCCCTGTTTCAGATAAGTAATAAAATGTACCTCGGACTTCTGAACCGGAAAAACAGTCCATTAAGTTATTTCTACAATTTTCTCAATTATTTATACATACAACAAATAGATAGAAATNATTGATTAAATTTTGAAAAATTAATCCAATGATTTAATTAAACACATTAGACTTAATAAAAAGACAAATGGACTGTAATGTAAAATCGACTGTACCTCGTAAATATGGAAGCTCTGTGGAGAAACTGTCGAAAACGATTGGGACGGTGACGGAAATTCGCAATAATTCCAGGAAATGGGCATCGCGTTTTTCCCGCGGACGCATCGCGAATTTTCGTGCCAGAAACAAATTTGCGAGTGCAATTTCACGCGTGATTGCTTGCTCCTTTCGACGAAAGGAACGGCCACTGTCGTTGATAAGCATTCACAGTTGTGAACAATGCAAACGAGAAAGTTATTCGATCAACCGAATTTTCAAGTTCTGTTTGAATATGAAGTGTGTCGTGGTGTATGGGAAGCTTATCGGAAGTTTTATATCAGCCACGTTGGAAGAGATTATCGAACCTTTTTATTCTTTAATTTTATTATTGTATTGATTATTGTTCATTGATTATTGTACAGATTTATTGTTTTATAGTTTATTGATTATTATATTATTTACTGTATTGTTTAATAGCTGTTTTATACATTTACAGTAATTTCTGATATGGGAATCAATATACAATACAGACAGTATA